ATATATAATTTTGAATTTTCTAATAGCTTGATAAAAAACTAAAAGGAAACAGATGACATTAATATATTTTAACCCAAAATATTATCACTTCCACAGATAATTAATGTGAAGATTATTAATGAAATATTTTACTTTTTTGTTGTCGGGACTAAGTCTTCGGGATTTAGTGTGTATTTGGACTAACCACATTTAAGTGCTCAGTAGCTACATGTGGCTAGTGGCTATCATGTTCGACAGCATAAATAATGAATTTAGCAGAAGAAGTTTGAAAAGTTTTATTCCAAGCTAGCAGCAAACCAATAATGCATATAAACTACAGGAATGGTTTTCTCAGACTTAAGTGTGACATGTCATACCTTAGCTTTAATCTGTATCTACATTTGTTTCCAAAGCAAGTCATCCTTCTGTTTTCTGAATGCCTCAGAACCTTCAGACCTATGGAGTATCTTACAGATAGAAAGGATTAGGGATATCAGAGGTTCTGTGTAGATTTGTTTAGGATTACAGGCTCATAATGGCATGACTACCTCACAGTTTAACTTGAAGACTGCCGAATGTGGACTTTTTGAAAGATGAAGTATAGTTAAGACTGTGAAGCACATATTCTGGTCCCTCGGCTATACCTGGTTTAGAAGCATCCCAGGGCTTTCAGCACGTCCCTTTACTTCTTGAGCCTGGGCATGAGAGCAGAAGTAAACCAAATCTGTTGTGTTTCACAGCTTCTGAAGTCCAGTATTTTACCAACTGACATTTTGTTGGCTCACACATATTCAGAGAAGCTGGTGATAACTGTTACTGCTACTCAGAGTTCAGGCATTGAACAGAGATTTTTCTTTTCCTTCAAATCAAAATGCACCATTAAGTATGGTGTAGATGAACAGTTTTTTTCATTAGAAATTCGTGTCAAACTCTGTCCCCCAAATCTACTCACTACTGTTTTGTAGGTATGGTAAAAAACGGGGAGGGAGGAGACTATTTGCATGGAAAAGGGGATGGGGCAGTTTTGAAAGCTCTTAGCTTGGCGCTGTGTCTCAGACATCCGCTGTTGGGATATTTAAACTCTAGGTATCTTTGGAATAATAACAGAACTTATTGCAATATATTGTCCTTTTAAAAAAATGTTATTTGGAATATCCCATGGTTGCCTATAGACTGGGAAGGAATTTCTTATAATTTTAACTCATGCAAATTATTAGCATGAAGAAATTCACAGGATTTTAGAATAAAAAACTGAAGAGCCTAATGACTTAAAATTCATGGTTTTTTTCTCTTAAATCTTTTTTTTTTTTGCCATTAGTTCTGTCTTCAGATATATTTGCCAAGTCTGCTTTTCTCTTTTCACAGTAAATAGTTAACCCATATGTTTAGAGTATCGGTTTCTGAAATAGTCACATTTAAGTATTTCCAGAAGTTCTTTATGTTCTCATTAATTTATTTGCAGTGTTTTAACATTTTTAAATCTGATTTTGATTTTTTCAGATAGATGTTTATATCAAGTACAAAGTGAAATAATACTATGTGGCTTATAATAAATAATAGTCCTGTACCTCATTCTTATCTAGCCTTGATTCCCGCTCTCCTGAGACCACCACTTTCACCACTTTTGGTTGTTTCTTCTGCTGTTTTCCAGATAACATTCTTATATTGTTGTTGTTTTTCTTATTTGATAGTTATCTATTCTTATTATGAATGATGAGGAATTAGCCCTTTCACACAAGCCACCACACACATTCCCCTCTTTCTATCTTTCTAATGTAGTAATGTCAAGTTTTACATTATGGTGTCTAAGTCGCATAGTATATTATGATTATATTTCCTTTACTGTACTTTTAGTTTTTCCTGGTGGTAATAATTGCTTTGGGTTTGTTGTTTGTTTTGTTATTTGAATACATATCATTGGTTTATTCCCTATTTCCTTTCTCGAACTATATACCATTCCTCCTGGTATTGTTGCTATTGTAAAATTTATTTATTAACCCAGGTAATCTATACATCCACTTTTTGGAGGGTGGGGGGGGACATCTTTCCTTGAGTTTCTATTCTCTGCTATAAACTGTACTATTTCTCTAGGCTTATTGCCACCCTCAAGGATCCCTTAGCCACTCACTTGGTGGTAGATCCTCTTTTTTCTTGATCCATGCAATATATTGTCCTTTTAAAATTAACCTCTTTCTAGGTTAATTCTTCAGTGTGATAGTTCGCATCTCTTGTAGCTTTCTGAGTGTGTAATGTGATATAAATTTTTCAGACTGCATTCTACCCTCACATTTGATTGATAATTTGGAGATAGAATTCTAAATCAGAGATCATTTTTCCCTCAGAGTTTTTAAGAAATTACTTCAATTGTCTTCTAGTTCACTGTGTTGCCCTTAAAAATTCCAGTGCCTTCCAAGTTTTTATTCTTTTTGGGTGATCAATTTGGGTTTTTCTAAAACCTTTTAAGATCTTTTCTTTTCTCTAGTATTCTAAACTTAGAAAAAAATAGAGTGCATATAATCTAAGTGCGGAAAAATGCATTTAATCTTCATGAAAGAGTGAGGACAAGAAAGAATAATTATAAATATGACCTATCATTGTGTCTAGGGCTCCAGTATTTGTAGAACTAAAAGGTTCTGTTTATTTCTGTCATTGACTCAATATTTTATTAAATGAAATAGATTCAAGGTGTAATTCAGTACAAAGGAAACTTCCTTGGTTTACCTTAGCAGATCTCTGTTAAGATTCCGAAAATAAAACTAGAGACAAATTTTACTTACTAGATGGACTAAGTAGTTATGGACTTTGGCAATGAAGGTGATGAGGTTATTTGCTGTCTTCATTTTCTTGCTACTGCCCCGGTTTAATATGGTTTCCTTAGAGCAGATGCTTCCATATATAGGTTTACATTGAGGTGTTGTGCAACTTATAGTATCATAAATATTATTTAACAGTGCTCTCCTTTTCATTTTATTTGTGCTTTCACTTGACTTTTACTCTTCATTCTTATTAAAGAGAAAGATTTTGAAGCAGGCTCTGCCATTAAGTACAGAACACTTTCCTTAAGTAAATGGCCTTGCCCACTGAGCTCCTCTGGTAGACTGATTTTACCACAGATTTTGCAGAACCTTTCAGCATGAAAACCTGCCCTGATCTTCTGCATTATGACAAATTACTAATCATCCTCTCTAAAAAGTAGTTTTACTGATAGAGCCACAAAGCCATTTTTTAGCCCATGCAGAAATGCAAGTAAACCTGTTTGCTTGAAATTGGTTCCTGGGAATTTATTTGGAATAACTTTTTCAACCTCAGTTTAGGTTAGGATAGCAGAAGCCTCTCAGGAGATCTCCAAAAGACAGTTTAAGAGTGAAGAATATAGACCAGACAAAAACTAATACTGAGTTAGTCACAAGTTGATAATGGGAAACATTAGTGTTTCTTTTTGCTCACAGCAATTGTAATTCAGAATCCCGTGTTACTGCATACAGTTATTTATGAGACGATTTGAGAGGACTGAATGAACTGATCACTGCATTTATCTCTTTCCACATAATCCTTCTGTTACATTTTATTTTCTTTGAATCAATAGAAACTACCTTGGACTTTGTTTCTTGTCTCTCTCTGCTTGGCGTCATTTTAGAAACACTCACTGTATTCTGTCTGTGGCAAGCAAACTGGAAGGACTAAGATGCTCTGCATAAAACAGAGCCTTGCTTATAGGACTAAATCAGAGTATTTTATGACATTATCTCTGAGAGGAATGAAAACTTTTTCTAAAAGTGAACATAGCATACATCACTGAAATGTGAATATTTTTTCTAAATATCATTTGTTTTTAAATTGAGAAAAATTAAGAGAACAAAAAATTTATCAACATTTTATTAGGAAGGATGTTAAATATATATGCCATTCCTTCAAAGTTGGAAGAAAAATCTGACATTTCAAAATCAGACATATTTCAAGTTCTAGATTTCTGAAGACAAAGTTGCCACAAAGGACTTGTACTTATAAAAGTGAACTACAGTCTAATTAAATGAGAATTGCATAGATATAAGACAAATTCCTTTGATATCTTACTGATACGAGCATTCTGAAAGTTAGAAAATGGTTTAGCAAATCTTATTCTTGTGTTTCATATAATATAAAACAGTACTTTATTCTTAATCTTCTGGTTCTGTAGGAATCTAAAGAGGAAATGCTTATAACCTCATTAATTAAGTTTTTCATCCTACTTGAAAACTGCTAATTTATTCTTTTTATTCTAAAATCTCCTCTCTTACATGTTCTTTTAAAGTCCTGTGGGGTTTTGCTTGTCTTTCTGATAGAAATCCATATCTAGTTACTTCCCCAAAATTTACTTTTAAACTTGTTTAGAGTATTAGGGCGGTGGGTTTGGCTGCCTAACTAAATTACTCACTCTTAGCCTGGCCAGTCATTGATATCAGGGCGTATTTTTTCCTTCCAGTTTTTTTATATAAGATTAAGAGAAAACTTTGCTTTCTTGAATTCATTAGGAAAAACTCCTTTTTCATTTCTCTTTTTAAAATTAGTTTGCCAATAATTGTCTATATGAAGAATATAATCTGAAAGATCATGCTGCTTACTTAACTTTTTCATCTAGGCTTAACTTTTCAGGGAAAGAGAATGCTTTGGCATTGAGTCTTATTACTTCGGCTTCCTCAGAGCTGGCTGTAGGCCCATTTAGAGAGTAGTTCAGAAATAGCTTTGTGTTTCTAAATAATGCAGCCCTTGCTACCTATGCTGCTTGGCACAAACGGTTTTATTCACTCCGTTATGGAGAACAAGTCCAGCGCATGTTTCTCTTGCTTCATAACTTGACCCTTTGCTCTTAATACTTATTCAACCTCCTTTACTTCTTTCTTCTCATTTTATTTTTCCCTCTCTGATGATATCTTTTTGACCTGAATTTACTTCTAAAGGGAAGAACATTTAATAAGTAAATAGCCCTTGTTGATAAATAGGCTCTCCTTGGGTACTTCACCTAGTCTTCCATCGTTTTCCAGGACAATCTCCGTAAGAAGGATGACAGAATTGAAGAGCTGGAAGAAGCACTAAGAGAGAGTGTACAGATAACTGCAGAGCGAGAAATGGTGCTAGCACAAGAGGAATCAGCCAGGACCAATGCTGAAAAACAGGTCTGCGATTTTATACAATCACTGGCAATGCAGCTGGTTAAACAAAAGGTAAAACCCAAGCAGTGTAGTCTAGGGAAACTATACATAATGTATGTTTATACGGTTTCAAAAACACTCATCAAGTGTAAGTACTTAGACTTAAATAAGAATTGAAATATAGCTATGTAAGAATTGGCTCGTGTTAATGCAGAGGTCTCTGTATTAATAATTTGGGAACTTATTTCAGATACATTTATGTAGTATATGTTCATATATTTGATGAGATAAAATGGAACGTGTCTGTTTGTTACAAGACAGCACAACCCTGCTTTTAAATTGAATGGAAAAACACAAGCATTTCTGAATAAAAGATGTTAATTTTAAATAGCAAATCCTGGCTTACTCAAAAGAGCAGTTAAAGCTATAATATGTTAAGGTTAATAACGAGTACGAAAGACCAGAGGTATTGTGACACTTGAGAGTCCCAGATCAGCATTTCTCTGCAGGTGACTTGTTAAAGAGTTCTGTTGCTGGGATTTTAAATATATTTTTCCACACCTTTTTAGATCCTCATACCCTTGCTTTTAACTTTTTATTAGGAAGAATAACTAAAGAGGGAGATGTGAATGGAAGAAATAGTTTTAACCAGTGAAGACTCTAATCTCAAGTCCCATTATGAGAGCATGATTGGAGGTTTTGAACGTGCCTCATATAGAGACTCATGACATTTAATTTTCCAGTGATTATTTCTTTTCCATTTCTTTGTTGGAGAAATATAAATGTTAAACAAGTAAAAAGTTCAATTGAGAGGGTAACATGAATGCAGGGGGTGTTCTTGGATCAGATCACCAGTGCCCTTGTATTAATGTAGTTGCATAGGAAGGAAGAAGGGTACTTTTCAAAGCAGACATATTTCAGTATGTATCACAAGGGAACCCTTCATAACTGTGTTAGATGCAAGGATATAGTTTCTTTAGTGTCAAGTATAGAAAGAAAGACAGACTGACATTGGAGAGCTGAAGGAAAATTGATCTTTTCACAGAATGACTGTCCTTCAGTGCCTTGTCCTCAGATAAATGCCTTAGTCCACCTTCTATTTGAATATTTCCTGATGTACAGTTGAATAGAGTTTGGGTAGTAGAGTGTTTCAGAGACGGGATGGTGACAGCCATTGTTCCAGAATGAAAAGGGATCTTCTTTTAGCTTGATTTTACCTTTTTTACACACTTTCCTTTATTTTCAAAGTGTCACCCATTTTTTTCCTCCTATAAAGATTTCTTTCTGCTTTGGGAATCATCAGTTAGTTCCAAGTTGTACAAATCAGAGAGTGTATAGAAATTTTGACAATAGTAGGTAATGTCATTATGGACTATGGACTACTTTTATGTGTTCTTTGTAAAGCTTTTGATGTGTAAACTGGTTATAATTTTTTTAGATCAGTTTTTTTAAATCAGTTTTTTAATTTACATAAAACTTGAGCAGAAAATACAGAGTTCCTGTATACTCCTTTCTCCACCTCAGTTTTCCCTATCATTAACATCTTGCATTGGTGTGGTAAATTTGTTAAAATTGATGAGCCAATATAGATACATCATTAACTAGTCCATAGTTTACATTTTGTTTCACTCTTCAAGTTGTACAATCTATGGGTTTTACCAAATGTATTATATCATGTACCTACCATTACAGTATCATACAGAGTAGTTTACTGCCCTAAAAATCACCTGTGTTCCACCTAATCACTCCTCCCCCATCTCCCCAGTCCCTGATCTTTTTTCCGTTTCTATAGTTTTGCCTTTTCCACAGTGTCATATAGTTGGAATCATACAGTATGTAGGCTTTTCAGACTAGCTTTTTTCATTTAGCCTCTGCATTTAAGGTTCACCCATGTCTTTTTGTGGCCTGAAAACTGGTTTTATCTCTGAATTATGTTCCTTATATGGATGTGCCACAATTTGCTTATTCCTTTACCTTTTGAAGAATATCTTCATTGCTTCCAATTTTTGGCACTTATGAATAAAGCTTCTATAAATGTTTATGTCCATTATGTATGGACATAAATTTTCAGGTCATTTAGGTAAATACATGGGAGTCTGGTTGCTGGATTGTATGGTAAGACTATACTTTATAAGACTGCAAAACTGTCCCCCAAAGTGGCTATATATAATTTGCTTTTAATTGCATGCTGTTTTCTCTTCTGTTTATCTTTTTTGCACCATTCTGCTACTCATTGCCTATTTGAAGCTGTTAAGGGAAATATTGCATGAGACCAGTCATTTGGGCTTTAAGTGGTTTAAGGTATGAAGAAACTGCTTTTATGTTTATACTTCTGGGGTTGTATAAATTTCATTTATTGTCCCCTCTTGCTCTCATCATCTTTTCTTATTTTATCTTTTTGTGTCTTCTAACCCCACTGTTTATTAATTGTATACATCAAGTATTCATTTGAAATATCTTAAATGGGTGAAGCTTTTTCTGGCTAGGGACATTATTCTTATTATCTTTCTCAGGTCCAGAATTTATGTCTCTTGTCTAAATTTAGCCTCTGAGAATAAATGACTACCTCTGATAGGAGGAGGATGTCTGCATCTCTTGATTTCTCAGAGTACAAAGTAGCCTGGCCAGGCATGGCTCAGCAGTTGAGCATCGACCTAGGATCCAGGCGATTGGGGTTCGATTCCCGGTCAGGGCACATGCCTGGGTTGTCGGCTCAATCTCCAGTCAGGGGCGTGCAGGAGGCAGCCGATCAATGACTCTCTCATCATTGATGTTTCTATCTCTCTCTCTCCCTCTCCTTTCCTCTCTCTGAAATCAATAAAGATATATTAAAAAAAAAAAAAGTACAAAGTAAAATTGTTTGGGGACCATATCTCTTATTGAAATAAAGTATACAGAATCTTTTAAAGTTTGAGCAGAGAAAAACTCTCAAAGGAAAACGTTTCTTGATGCCTTTCCTATATTCTTTATAGAATCCCTTTCCAGTATTTTTGTTCCAAATACATGCTGCTCTACATTGAGCCCATGCTCCAAATTTGGAGAAGATGTCTAATGATCCAGCGAAGGGAGATGTCTTCTAAACTGTGTTGGCAAATGGAGGGAGGAAAGGGAACAATCCCATGAGGAAACCCCAGGGTTCCTTTCCACATGGTTTTCTTCTGAAACCTCTCTACTCAGGTTTTGGCAGGTTTTGTGTTTTGCTGAATGTGACAGTCCATTTTTTTAAAAAAATTAAATTTATTGGGGTGACATTGGCTAATAAGATCACATAGGTTTTCCTCAGGTGAGGATTAAAAAAAAAGATCATGTAGGTTTCAAGTGTACGTATCCATGATACATGATCTGTATATTGCATTGTATGCTCACTACCCAAAGTGGGTATATTTGGTCCCCTTTACCCATTTTCTTAAAATGAACATAGAGTAAAATTGTTTCTCTTAAGTCTCAGAATTATCAGGAGGTAGGGAGCAATATCCGTAGTTCAGCAGTACTACTATGAAGTTAAAATTTTTGAAAGGCGTTTTTATTTTGTTTTTTTGCATTTGAAAATGTTTTAAATGTCTTCTCTGGTATACTTTGAGAGTAAACTTATTATTTTATTTTATTTAAAAAAAATATTTTTATTGATTTTTTAGAGAGAGAGGAAGGGAGAGGGAGAAAGAAAGAGAAACATCCATGTGAGAGTGAAACATCGATGGGCTGCCTCCTGCATGCCCCCTACTTCACAGACTGAACTCCACTTGCTCATGTGTCTAGTTCCGTTTCCTATGCAGTCATGTCTGATAAACCAGATATGGCTGTGATTGTGAAATTTGATTAAGTTGAAAATGAAGATAGAAACACAGGAGAAAAATCCACTGCCTTCAAAGGAAATAACCGAGTAGGAGAAGCAAGCAGGGGAGTCATGATGAGGTGTGTGATGGGGAGCAGGTGCGCAGCCCGGGCATGCGCCCTGACGGGGAATCAGGCAGCAGCCTTTTGGTACATGGGATGGTGCTCAACCAACTGAGCCACACCGGCCAAAGAGAGTAAATTTATTTTTGAGGGAGCCATTTTCAAATAGATTGCTAAGTAAGATTTTTAAAATGCCTTACAAGTAAAAGACTTTCTCTTGTGGCTTAATAAATTGGATTTATTTTGTTCCTAAAGAATGTTTTTGAATGTTTTGAGTAAAGATACATCCTCTCAGCATAATTAACATTTGCACATGAGTTCTGATTTTATTTTAAAAGCTCATTTTTAATAGTGATACTCGTTTTCTTCAATTTGCCATTTTGACATTATTTGGCTTATATATTAAGTGTAAATTCTTGACCTAGAAGATCATAAGATTTTACCAATGGTTTGCTAGATAGTTATAGGTTAATTAGCATTTTTAAGAATTACAAAAAATATGGCACTCTTGATGAAACTGCATTTTACAGCCTGCAGGACACCTGGGACCAGCTTAGTTTTTTACTCTAGATTTCACTGTTATCCCACCCAGCTTCTCCCTTTAACATGCAGGTTTTTTCCTTCCCTGCCATCCACACAGGCAGATGGGACAGGCAGGTATGGCCTTCATTGTCAGTAGTTCTTGATTCTTGGTATGAAAATAGGCAGCACAGTCATCTAAATTTGATCCAACATCTCTACATCTTACAGTTAAATAGCTAAAAGAAGTAAAATAAGAAGGCAGTGCTTGTGGAATGGACAGTGCATGTTGGTGACACACACCTCATCATGATTCACCTGCTTGCTTCTCCTATTAGGTTGTTTCCTTTGAAGGCAGTGGATTTTCTCTTGTGTTTCTATCTTCATTTTCAACTTAATCAAATTTCATAATCACAGCCATATCTGGTTTATCAGACATGATTGCATAGGAAACAGAACTAGACACATGAGCAAGTGGAATTTAGTCTGTGCAGTGGCCACTGCCGAGTGTGCCATTTTTTTTTCTCTTGAAGATGTATTAAGAATGAAAATCTCTGTTGTCAATGGGCTACAAATCTGACTAGTCACTTACACAGTAGTTATCACCATGA